AACACAGAGACCCGGAGAATTTCTTTGGAACAGAATTCAGTAAGCGATTTCCATACTAGCGGTTAGTCATTTGGAAAGCATATGTACCCTAACATGAATTTATATGAGGTGGCCCAAGAAGAAACCCTGGAGAGGTTACTCTTTTTCTTCCCTGCTCTGGTTCTTTTTCCTTGTCTTAAATAGATGGCTGTAAAGGGTTCCCCCCCCCCCCGCCCTTGTTATTGTAGTAAAATGATGAGAAAAGGTTCACCGGGTTAATTTCTTTGTTTTGGTTTTGTGTTCTGGTCCAGCAATTAAGGCTAAAACACTTTCAGGAAACAGAAAAGCAACCACACAGCAACTGAATAAAGGTGGGTTCCTTTTTCTGTGCCTTGCAATCTAAACAGTATGTAAGAAGAAAGATAAAGAAAATATGAAAATAATAGAGAATTAAGAAACCAGAGCACAAGCAGATTGAAGAGTAGGCGGGGGGGGGAGGCAAAGTGTGAAGTGTTTACTATGGCTTGTATTTAATATGATAGAAAAGGGAAAGCCAAGATGAAATGAAAGATGGGGAAAATGAAAGAATGCAGTGTTAAAATAGAGAAATGTGGCCTGGAGATAAGCGGGACGAAGGCCATTTGGGAATATTAAATAATGTAGTCTGCATAAAGAAAATTAAACAGAACCTTGTGTTCTTACTGTAATCAGCTGAAAAAGAAGAATGAAGCACACGCTCTGGTTAAATGGGAAATGATAAGATTTAGTTCTGACAATTCTAGAAATGGCAAAGATCACAAGGTCACTTCTCAAGCTCACTTCTTCCTTTGGTGGTGGTCAGAAAATCAATAAAAAGCTGCATAAACTTCTTTAGAGTGATATATAAAGCTTAGGATTCAGAAAGAAAATAAGAGACAGAAATATAGGAAATGATAAATCAAAAGTTCTTTGATAAATTAATGTTGGTTTCAAAGCATGGAAAAGTTATCTGTCAAGTTGTGACACAGGCAACCCTTTGAACAAAATGAAGTAACAAGGCTGATATAAGGATCGGTGTTTTTTTTCTGTTGGGGTTCCTGGAGCTCTCAACGCTAAATCTTGTCATTTCCCTTTTGATCAGTCACTGTGCTTCATTCAAGGACTGCCTGTAACAGGGATCACCAACCTTTTGGACTTCAGGGACCACCAAACTCATAATTTTAAATCCCACGGAATGGAGACCCTGGGAAAATCCCCCCAAAAGTCTGCAGGAAAATTCCCCACCCCATTTTCCTACCAATCAATTGTTCTTTATTTGGAATCGCAGGATACTGTCTCCAGCTCCATTCTCAGGGGGACAGAGAGAGAGAGAGAGACTTTTGGCTTCATGCAAGAAAAATGGAGGAAGCAGCAGAAGTCTTTCTTTCTCTCCCACAAACTCCGCCAGGAATGAGTCTTTGTTGGTGCAGCCTCTTGGAGCAGGATGCCTTGCAAGTCCCAAAGACTCATTTCTGGCAGAGTTTGGGGGAGAGAAAGAAAGACTTTCGCTGCTTTCCTTGCGGGCAACCAAAAGCAGAAGAAGAAAGAAGTGGAAAGAAGCAGCCCGGTGGCCGGGAGAGACACATGAGGTGAGTGGTGTAAGTTCCCACCCTCCGCCCTTTCCCCCCTCATGTTGTTCGCAATGCAAGTGACGCAAGCCTTGTGTTCCCGCAGGCCATGCGGGAGGCGTAGTCTTGTGTTCCTACGCGGCCATTGCTTTGGGGGGTGCTTTGGGAGTGACATTTCCCTCGGACCACCAAAATTTTCTTGCGGACCATCAGTAGTCCCCGGCCCACTGGTTGGCGACCACTGGCCTATAACATATCAGTTGGCAGGCTTATGACATCATGAGACACTATCTTAGATCATCACTTTTCCCTATTAGCTCACTCACTGAGATGCACAATACCAACTCTTGCTTGTTGCCTCTCCTCTTGGCGTTACGGAGCAAAGGGAGAAATATCCTATAGATGTCTGCCAAGTTCAGTTCTCTTTGACAAACTGGAAGCCTCTGAAACCTTTTTCTCCCATAATTTGTTATGAAGGAGTGCATTCTGTCCCAGAAGCAAAGCGTAGTCATGCCATAATGTCCTATACCCATGTTGATGAACCTATGTCCTGCATGCCGGAAGTGAGAGGTCACCCAGAAGAATCCACTGCGCATGCGCGCGCCCGCCACCGCCCAACGGCTGATTGTCAGGTATCTGGTGCACATGTGCAGGGGGCAGAGGGGGTGCACAGGGACACTCTGCATGCAATGGGATCATGTGCGCATGTGCAAAGACGCATGGCCAGCTAGAGTGATTGTATCTGGCTTCAAGGGTGGGGGGGAAACCCAAAGAAGAAAAATTGCAGCATCCTTTCCAGGCTGGTACTGATTAGGACAGGAGGTGAGCTGCAGAGTAAATAAGATGCAGCCAAGAAACCTCCTTTGATCAGCCATTTTCCCAACCTCTGTCATTGGTTAAAGAAGACAGTTGCCTGTCCTTTATCATTTCTGTCCCTTTGACCTTCCTTTCTGCATATAGGATGGGAGGGGGGAAGGAAAGTTTGCAATGCCTAACAACCTTCAAAAATCTTCCAGAGATTCTGGGATTGTACCTTGAGATAAGCAAACAAGTTTCACATTTTTTTGCATTGTGCTTTTTTATTTTTTATTTTAAATTGGGGATGGAAAACAACTTATACTTAGCTCCCAATGTTCCTTCTGAGCAAGTCTCTATGTTGCATTTTATCTTTACTTTTATTATATTTGACAATGTCATTAGGTGTCCCTTTTTTCCTTTTTTATCCCTTTTGTAAAACAAAGAAAGCAGATCTTTTTAGCTGCTTTTCAAAGAAGGCTGCCTATGCCCTTTTTGCCCTCTGCGTTATTCTGGCAGGGCCCTTATCTAATTCTTTTCTTGTTTAAACGTGCTTAAATCAGTTGTTCCAATGATGGCTTGACAGAGACTGATAAAAATGTTCTCTGTCTCTCTGTTAAATAAAGTAATTCCCTTTATAATTCCAAACTGGCTGAATGACCTTGCAGTCCAATGTTCCATATTGGGGGGATAATATTCTCATCTAAACGGCCCCTTTTTTCCCCTTCCTTCACTCCCACTTTCCACAATATGATTTTCATTACTCTCATTTGACTTGTAGAAATATATGGGAGGCCTAAAGCTCATGGACCCACAATGCAGATATGGCACAGGTGCTTAGTCAGATTGGCTGTGTGTATGTGTGGTTTTTTTTTTAAAGACAAGAAGAAAAGACCACAATAGGTCTTCCCAAACCCTACATGTTGCTGCCCCTCCCTCTGCTTATAAGGGGCCTAATTTAACTAGAATGTCATTTTTATTATGCCTATTCATAATCCTACTATTAAACACAAGGACACATATTTTAGTGTCTTCCCACAATATCTAAATGAAGGGATATATATGAGTTAAGTGTGTGGTAGGAACCCCAAAAGGGTGTCAGTCTGTTGGGATGCTTTTCAACTGTGATTTCCCTCTGCTAATAATAATTTGGTATTGCCTTCATATTTAAAACATTATCCTTGCCACTAAGTCCGCCAGAGCAGGTATGCAATGTACAGTATCCTGCTGGACTTTAACCATTCTGACTTTGTGTCCAAATTTTAAACTCTTTCTTAATTATTAGCCCTTTTTCTCCATGTACTTCCATTTTGCTTCTCAGCTTGTTAGTTAGCTTGTTGTTCATTCATAAAGCTCTCTTCTTTTATTTTACTTTATTAATCTGTTTTTATGTCTTTGTGTATCTTGGTTTTCCAGGCAGGCTCATCCCTCTTGGCTTGTTTACACTTTGGAGATGTGAGTTATAGTTTGCTGCTCACTTTCCCTCTGAATTCATTAAAATAAGCCTTCCGGAAGTCCAAAATGTGTTTCTGACTTTTTTTTCAACTTCAACCATGCCAGTTATGTTGATTTTTTTTTTTTTACAAAGTGTCTATAATGTTCAGTTCATTAACAATCTCTTTAATCAGAATTAGAATCCCACTTTTCAAAAAATAAAATTGTCCTTAATAGAGATCAATCATTGCTTGGACTGTCTACTCTTAGCTGAATGAGTCTTCATTCAGTTGAATATCATGTCCCTTTTAGCACTTGATGGATTGATTTAGGGCTGATTCACACAAGCAGGTTGCTCCAAAACAAGAACACACCGGTAAAGAGCACAGACCACCCACAATATTTTTCTCTGTTCAAACCAAGGTCCCTGAGATGACTTATCCCTCTCTTTTCCTGCTACATATCAAAAAGTACAGAGAACATAACATAAAATCACAGGGGCTCTAAAGGAACTTGGAGGTCTAATAATCCACACACACCCCACCCAAAGTTTTCTTGAAAACCTCTAGCAATAGAACACCCACAACTTCAGGAGGCAAATTGTTCCATCAGTTGATTTTTCTCACTGTGGGAACATTTCTCCTTAGTTCCAGGTAGGCTCTCTCTTTAATGAACTTCCACCTTTTGCTTCTTGTCCTACCCTCAGGTGCTTGGACCTCTCAGCTTGTGACTGCCGACCAAGTACTGGTACAAGCACCCAAGTAGCATTTTCTCATTTGTGCCAGTTTTGAGCTGGTTACCTTTCTTGCCCCAAATATCACATCGATCAAACCTCTTGCTGTTTCCTGGTAATGCAAAACACATAAACTTTAATGTTAGGATCCTGAGCATACAGTCCTTGCCCCCATCCCCTCCTCTACACACACATCTGCACAATCGCCACTGTTCCACCTGCCAAACTATCCTAGTATACACCCACAGACCAAGGCTCCATTGCGCCCAATCTGATCTGCATTTATTTTCTTTCTTTCTTTCTTTCTTTCTTTCTTTCTTTCTTTCTTTCTTTCTTTCTTTCTTTCTTTCTTTTCTTTCTTTTCACCCGAAAATAAGGCTCTCCAAAAGCTCATGGGAGGCACGGCTCCCTCCAACTCCGAGGTTGCCCGGAAGGTAAATGTTTAACCTGGCGGGCGACGGGCACCAGGGGGCGCTGCCGGGCCGATTGCTCCCGCCGGGCCGAGGGTGAAAAGGCGGCGAAGGCCGGACCGCACCAGCCGGACTCCAGCCGAGACGCTCGGATGATTTCGGCGGGGCAGCAGCTCATGAAGGTCTTTGTGACTCGGAGGATCCCCCCGGCGGGGCAGGCGGTCTTGGCTCAGGCCGGCGTGTAAGTGGCCTCGCCTGGCTTCCTAAACGCAAATAGAGGAAGGGGAATCTGTTAGTTTTTTTCCGCCCCCCTTTCTTTCCCCGAAGGGGGTGTGTGTATGTGCCCGACTCGTGTTTTTTCCTCAAGGATTTTGCCCTTCGGAAAGACTGCGGCCATTGCGGGAGCCCTCCCCGGTTGGGTGGCTCGCCTATGAGCAGGCGACGGGAGTGGGGACGGTGGGGTGGCTGCGAACCTCTGGACCGCCAAAACCGACGCTTCTCAGCCGGGGGCTGAGAAAAATCTGGGGATTTTTGCAGCCCGGGTACGTGTCCAAACTTTTCTTCACGCGCTCGTGAGAAGCGAGTGCGCGCGTGTAAACAGAACGGGGGGGGGGGGCATTGTAAAAAGAAAGAAAGAAAGAAAGAAAGACTTGCTTCCCATTAGAGCTTCAATTGTAACTGGTGCGGAGCAGGGCCGCTTAAAGGGCCCGCAGCTGCAATGCCTTCTAGCGGGGCTACAGGCGGCGGGGAGGGCGCGGGTTGCAGCAGTCCCAGGTTCCCGCTTCGCTGCTTCCTTCTCCCCGGACACGGCAGGGGGAAGGGCAGGTATAATAACCACGGGTTCAATCCTGTTCCCTGTTAGGCAACGGGCAGATCCGGCTGAGAAGAGCGTTCTCCCAAGTTGAATTTGAAGGCTCGCTTCTAAAGAGAAGTTTCTTCTCCCTTTAGCCTTCTTCCTTTCTTTTGCGTTTGGGGATTCTTCTGCTGTGAAGACATGGATTGGACCTCTCCTTTTTGCAGGAGCCCCTCTCTTCGGTGTTAATTTAGAGCAGGGGTGTCCCAACTTTGGCAACTTTTAAGACTTGTGGATTTCAACTCCCAGCATGGCTGGTTGGGGGAATTCTGGGAGGTCAAATCCACAAGTGTTAAAAGTTGCCTAGATTGGTACGAACCCCGATTTATTCTTGCCTTCGCCCATCTAAATTCCTTAAACTAGCATTGGCCCAGGTGGACAGAGGCAAGCGTTAAAGCCATATGTACTAGCTCTATTACAATTTCCCACTTCTGCCAAAATTATTATCGTCCTTCACAGTTGTTGGCCAGTCCAAACCCAAGAAGGTCATAGCCACTCGGGGTCTCCTCTAGTTGATCCCTGGGAGTAGAAATTATTGGGAATTACTCTGTGATTGGGACTCAATGTCTAAAATGCAAGTCCACGTACATATTAACAATATCTTATTTTCCTTAAATATTTCACAGGGTGAGCTTTGTTTTATCAAAGTTGTTATTCATTGTGAGAAGGAGTAGCTGTCTTTTCATTCTTCTTTTCATCCTCTGGGATAGGAAAATAGGAATACCGAATAACTCCAAAGTTAAGTAACTTTGCCCTGAAGTCCCCAAAATGTGTTTTCGCAATTAGTTTTCCTTGTTTGCTTAAGCAATAAAAAGGTTGCAGCCTTCAGGACATTGGATTGCTGCTTGATCTAATTTTGGCTTGCCTCCTCCTTCCCTTTCAGTTGCAACATCCAACAGTGGGATTCAGAGGAACCAATCCCACAGGCAGAATTGCTAGCCGGGGTAGCTGGCAAAGATGGCCTCCTATGTCTCCTGTCTGACCGGATAGACAAGGAAGTCTTAGATGCAGCAGGTGAGTGTGGAGAAGTGCAGCAATATTGCTTGAAAAGGTTGTGCGTATGGAGGTATTTACAGGTAGCCTTCAACTTACGAACGTTCACTTAGCTACTATTCAAAGTTATGATGGCGCTGATAAGAGTGGCTTACAATTGGTCTTTGCACATGGCAGCGTCCTCACAGTGGCACTTGGGCCACGGCCTGCATATGCAGTAGTTGCAGCATCCCAGAGTACCAGGGTTGCCATTGGTGACCTTCCCAGCCATCTTCCAACAAGCAAAGTCAGTGGGGAAGATGGCAGGGAGGCTTCCAAGTCACGATCGTGTGATGTCTTGCTTAATGATATCAACACTTAGCCATGAATTTTCCAATATCGTAGTCATAGGTTGAGGGTTACCTATGCAGACATTAGCTTGCTCACTATCACCAAACTATTATACAGTAGGGAAATTTTTATTAGCTGCTTTGGTAACTTTTGAGAATAATGCAGTATTTCACTCTAGGAGAGCAAAATTAGTTTTCTAATTCCTTTCAGAGGAAAAGCCTCAGATGATTGGGATTGGATCCAACTCCAGCTTTATTTTCCTTCCTGTCTCCTTCCTTCTGTGGAGGATTGCCTCCAACCCCTCAGGATATCTGGCCAGACAGTCTGGATCTGAAAAACATTCCCTGAGCCAGATGTGCTGTTAAATCCCCTCATTTTATGTTGCATTCATATTTCTCTGCTTCTGTGGTATCTGCTGAAGAAAGTCTGGCCTTTCTCTTTAAATATAATAAACCATAATACTGAAGAATTTTAAGCCATGATTCTGTTAAGTGCTGAACATAAAAGTAATTAATCTCATCCTTTAAATGATGGTTTGTTTGCATATAAAAGATCCTGTTGTTCAGCCTTCATTTGAATGTGTGAGTAGGCTCTTAAAGTACCTCAGAATAGCCTGTTCTGGAACTGAATATTTATGTATTAGTCTGAATTGGGATTGCACACATGGAGGTCATCCTGTGGATTTGACTTGTTTATCAGAAATGCCCAATTTACTTTATTACAAAACCTCAGTAAGAATGCATGGAGGGCTCTGTTAATTCCCCTGCTCCCTCCAGGTGTTGTATGGGTTTGGGGGGCAAAGGGATTTTGGTTCTTATTCCAGCATTGAGCCGAAGATTCCTCTTGCACAGCTATTGGTTGTGCAAGTGCATTGGTTTTTTGTGGTGAGTTTTTACTCCTCACGCATTGACCTCATAAGATGGCAGTTGATTAGTGAGCTGAAAATAGGTGAGTGGGGGGAAGAGACTTGCTAAACATTTGGATTTTTAAAATCCATAAAAAACTGCTGTGGCCATTTTAAAGCCTGAAAATAGAACTGTACAGTTTTCTGTTTGTTAACAATATATGATTTGGACTGTTCACCCAAAATAAGTATTTAAGTCAATTTAGATAGTTATATATTCCAGAAGGGGCTGCAATAGCTTAGTGGTTAAAGCCGCTGAGCTTGTCAGCTGGAAAGCAGACAGCCCGGGTTTGAGATACAAGCACTGCGCAACAGGGTGAGCTCCCATTCTTGCCCCAGCTCCTGCCCATCTAGCAGTTCGAAAGCACGCAAATGTGATTAAATAAATAGGTACCACTTTGGCATTTTGTATGCCTTGGCATATAGTCATGTTGGCCACATGACTACGGACATTTCTTCTGACAATGCTGGCTCCCTTGGCTAAGAAACAAGAGATGAGCACCGCCCCCTAGAATCGGACATGACCGGACAGGGGAACCTTTATATATTCCAGAATCTTACTAAAGGTTTGTGGTTTGCTTTGAATGCACACTAAAAAGAAAACAATCTTTTAAAAATGTTTGATTGAGATAAGGATGGTATTTGTGCATTAGTTGCTATTCCACTGATTGATTAGGATTAGTGGACTTTAATGCTTGAACTAAATTTTTGTTGACTGATGATGCAAATGAAGTTTGTAAACCCAGTTACATAAAAAGTGGGCTTCCATTCATTGGTTCTTTTGATTTTTTTTTTAAACGTTCATATTAAATCTTACCCAATTTTTCTGTGTCTTATTAATGAATGAGGTTTTTCAAAGACTGAAAAACATCTTTTTTGCTTGCCAAGCTTTGCCAATATTATGGTAGTTGATTGGGTGATAAGGCTGATATAAACTATCATTTGCCATGCTGTAAATAATATTTGTTTTCATGACTTAATGACTTTCATTCTGAGCATGCAGTCTTCATTTTTTTCCAGGGCCAAGCCTCAAAGTAATTAGTACATTGTCAGTGGGATATGACCATCTAGCTATTGATGAAATTAAAAAACGGTAAGTCTTGTATAATTTAAAATTCAGCTATTCTACATCAGAGCAGGAGAGATTAGGAGAGAATTATAGTGGGAGGTTTAAGTCTGCCCAATTTCTTTTCGCCACTAAAACCCAGAGTTCTTTTTCCTGGAAAAACAGCAACTGAAATATATATAATGCAGGTCCAACCTCTTTAAAGGAAAGGCTGTTCTTTTGAAAAATCACTAATTGGTTGGGGCTTGGTTAAAGTAGCTTGGGTTTTAAGGTTCAAAGAATGGTGTCCTTTTTAAGAACTGCAGTTACTTGCCTCAACATACTTCAACCATTTGGCTTTTAAACTATGATTATTGTAAAGTACCAAGCATTTGTATTTTATTACGTTACATACATTCATTTTTAGAAGCCAATTATGTCAAAAGGGAAGCAGAACACTTTCTTCCATTTATTATTTTCTGTATGCTACGTTGACCCATCCATGGCCAGTTCACTCATGCACCTCTTCTCCGATTATATAAATTTTACAAGATAAAACATGTTGTCGGTGCTTTGGATTACTGTATATGCAAAGGTTTTATTCCAGGGATTACTTCTACTCTTTTATGGGGGAAGAGTCCTGCTGCCTTGACCTACGTACTATATTGATTAAGGTGCTCAAGTACCCTGCTTAAAAGTGCCCGCCTCAAATAAATGGTGATGAAAATGAGAAGAACAAGCCCCTTTTTAAATTCTAGTGGTATCCGTGTGGGGTACACGCCAGACATCCTGACCGATGCCACTGCTGAGCTGACAGTAGCTTTACTCCTAGCCACATCTCGCAGGCTGCCCGAATCAGTGGTGGAAGTGAAGAAGTAAGTATCTGCAATTTTGCTTGGGATAAAAGCTGGGGAGCATATTGTACTGGCTTGAATATTTGGAGGTGACAGTAATCAGATATCTACCATTCTGGGATGTTAGTCATCCAATGACTGTTGTACGTTAGCAAATTTCAGGGGGCGGTGTTGGTAAAGCAGCCGCCTTTAGGACAAAGGTTGAGTTTGCAACAGTAAACAGTTGTAAGTCTCTTGCTGGACTGCACAGGGAGAATTCTATAGCCATAGTACTGGCCTCTTGCAAGTAATTAATTAATGCCCCTTTTGCATTTTGATTTTTTTCTTGCAGCGGAGGCTGGACAACATGGAAGCCTCTTTGGATGTGCGGCTACGGACTTTCAGGCAGCACAGTTGGGATTATAGGGCTCGGAAGAATAGGTAATCCTTGTTTTTTTAAAAGATCTACCTGGAAATTCAAATTTCTTTTACCTATAAAATGATTTCAATGAGGTAGGTTCGGATAATTAAATGGCAGCTCAACTCAAACTTTAAATCAGTGCCAAGTTATTGTTAACTGAGTATCTACAGTAGCAAGCGCAACGCAGTGGAGAGGTACAGTGGTGCCAGCTTTTCAAAACTGGAGACTTGAACTTCAAAACTGAGATTCAGGTTTATCAGCAAGTCTAGTGCAAAGTGGACTTTCTCCTGTGGATTACTCTTTAAACGAATAAACTGTTACCCCAGAAGAGACCGGTTTGCCTTTTTTTGATTTTGTCATTGCAGTCATTCAGATCTCAGACTTTCAAATACTGCTCCGGATGAGAATAAGAGTAGACACTTTTATTTATTTCAGGAATTTTGTATTGCTGCTACTGGCACATGACAACTCAAGGCAGCTTACACGGATATAGCACTTAGTAATAGCACTTAGACTTACTTACATACTGCTTTACAGCCCTAAGCAGTTTACAGAGTCAGCATATTTCCCCTAGCAACAATCTGGGTCCTTATTTTACCGACCTTGGAAAGCTGGAAGGCTGAGTCAACCTTAAGCTGGTGAGAATCGAACTGCTGACCTGCCGAATAGAAGTAGCCTCCATTACTGCATTCCAATCACTGCACCACCCACAGCTCTTAATATATAAATATAAAAATAATGTGAAAGAAATAAAATAAAATGAGGAATAATAAAATAATAAATTAGTAAAATAAACCTTCCTACCCTAGGGCAGTCTAATGCCTGCAGGAATGATATTCCAGAGAAGGAGCCACCACAGAGAAGGCCCTTCTTCTGGGTCCCACCAAATGGGGATGGGACCTGCAAGATTTGTTGCCTCCTGGCTCTAGTGGGTCAGGTACATGTGACTGGCAAGAGATGGTCCCTCAAGATAAGCTGGTCCCAAGCCAGGAAGGCTTTAGAAGTGACCACCAGCACCTTGAATTGCACCCGGAGGCAAATCGGCAACCAATGCAGTTCCCGCAGGAGAGGTGATACATGTGCACGCTGAGGTCTTCACAAAACCATGTGGACTGCTGCATTTTGCACTGAAACTTCTGGTTGCTCTTCAGCAGCAGCCTCATGTAGAGCATGTTGCAATAGCCAAGATGGGAGGTGACGAGGGCGTGAGTGACTGAGTAGGGATTGTTGGTCCAGGAAAGGGCGTAAGTGGTACACAACCTGCAGTTGGACAAAGGCCCTCCTGGCCATGATTGCCACCTGTTCTTCAAGCAGGAATCATGAATCAAGAACCCCTAGATTACGAACAGGGTCTGTTTGGAGCAGTGCCACCCAAATAATTTGAAATACACTTTCAAATAAATATACTTGATTCAACTGACAGTACTTAGTCAGAGTAGAGCTAATTATAATGAATTGAGACTAGCAATTAAGTAAAAAAAAATTGGCTGGCACTGACCAACTCAGGACAAGTGTTGAACATGGCTAATTGTGGTTTGCTTTTATCATCTAGCAGGATATCCATAGAAAAGTACTTTTTCATTCGATGGAGCATTGATTGGCTGGCCCCCTGCCAATCAAGGGAGAGTTAACTCTTATCTTTTGTGCACCAAATTCTCAGATCCAGCTTTGCCTCTTCTGTGACCACTTTGGCTTTAGTAAAGTATATTTTTGGCTAATCATGGGCCTGGCGTCTTTTTCTCTTCTTTTTCTTTCTTTTCTACTTGACCAAGTTGGGGTGGTATAGGGGCTGCATTAATGAGACATGGCTGTGGTTCATATCTATAATCCTGGAATTGTTTTCCTTAATTGTTTGGCTAATAGCAGAGTCTTTTGCCTAGTTGGAAGTTATTTGGGGGGAACTGAAATCTAACATCTGAGGGACACCAAATTGGGGAAGAAAACACCTTTGATTTTTCAGAAATGACTATATTTCTTAAGTGAAGTGTTTTTGTGTTTTCCTTCTGCTTCTAGGGCAGGCCGTAGCATATCGCCTGAAACCTTTTGGAATCAAGAAGTTTTTGTATACAGGTCGTCACCCCAAACCTGAAGCTGCTGTGGAATTAAAAGCAGAGTTTGGTGAGAGTTATGTTTTATTTATATGAATTTGTTTATATATGTTTTTCATCCACCAATTGTTCTAAATAATTTAAATAGAAAACAACTTTAATGAAACATGAGATTAAACAAGATT